TAGTGACTAAATTCTGTGCGTCTTTATATACGTATACAAAAAACCAACACAGTTTGGCCGTATTTTGATCTAGAAAATGAAAGTAAGGTTGTGTCAGAATAAACTGGCATAAAACCACTTGACTAAAGCAACAAGTAACCACATTCAGCACAGACATGTGGACGTTAACCTGCAAGAAGAGCGGGCTGCTGGTGCTAGCACTGTTTTCTTACTTAAATCTAAATTTAACTTTTCGTTTTATCGACAGGAAATTTGTCAGAAATTTGAAAGAGAGAAAATATTTTTTTCACTTATTAATTCCAGTGTGTTTTCACATTAAAGACTTCCAGCAGCTCAAAGGAGAACAATCTCTCGCCTTTCCGGTGGGCTCTGAATGTGAAACATCTGCAGGAAGGGTTGAGTTTCTTTGACACTAGCTCAAAAGAGTTTGAAAAAATGGCAAAGTAGCTGCGACAGTGATTAATTAATCCATTAGATTCTATTGAATTTCTATGAAAAAGAAAAAACAATATTTACATTGTAGTGAACCAGCTAGTGTTATTTTGATTATTTTATATCAAAAGGATTAATCTAGAATCTCTCTTTGTCTCTCCCTGAGAGAAAGAGGGGGGGGGGGGTTGAGATATCAATCCTCAACAGACAGCTGAAGTACCCCAAAGGAGGGGGTGAAAGGTTTGATTCCCTCCCAAGTGCTGCTTGGGCAGTTTCGGCCATAAACCTACCAGCTCCAGTGAAGCTGAGATAACAGACTCTATGCATGACTGTTAAGATGACAATATTAATCTTGTCCAGAGACTAACCTCAACCTGAACCAGGCTGTGAGGACCTCAGCAGCCATAAACTAAACAACCTCTAAACACTCCCAAGACCAAGAGGGCAGGGTAACCATGGTAACGAAGTTCCTCTTTCAGATTACCTCAGACATCAAAGACCCCCTTCTTCAGTCTTGATGCTCTACCCCACCAAAGAGCCATTCATTTGGACTAACATGCCCTGTCCCTTTTCACACCCAGTTGTGAAACAGGTGAGGAAAGCCAGACGCCAGAGAAGGACGCTGCCCCAAATTCCTTTGTTGGACAAGAATGTTGTCTCCTTCTAAAAACTTCCCTATCACCTTGTTTGAATTAAATAATCTTTGTTAAGTTACTTAGTAGTTCTCGCCGCTTCAATTTGGGTAGTTATTACCACGTTCTTGTTAAAACTATGTTGGAAGAAGGAACCGTAAATAAGTTAATCTTGCAGTGCTTTAATTGTCATCACTGCTCGCTGTCCTTTCTGCATTTAATTTGTGTAACTAATGTTTTGTTCCCAGCACCTTTTATATACTCCCTTAGAAATTATATGGTACAGAAATATCATCATGTGTTAAATAACCTATTTTCCTAGCTCCTGAACCAAGGACTGAGTTAACTATAAGTAAATAATCAAAAATAATACCCCCCCCCCCGAGAAATAAGTGTAATATCACAAGTTTAATGTCTCTCCTTGTGCCTTTTTTATGTATCACTCTGTATTTTACGTAAGTTCCCTTTTTAAGCTTTATTTTAGTTGAATTAACTTCTGCTGCTCCCACCTAAGTTCTGCCAGCAGTAATCCTGAGGACATCAAACCAATGAACTAAGCCTGGGCCGACCACCCGTTACTGCGAGTGTTTTTCCCACAACTACCAGCCAGACAAAGAACTCTAATCTACTAATCCATCGGCCAAAACCCGCTCGAGAAGCTGTGTGGCGTGCCAAGCCACGGAGGCCCTGACCACACGAATGAGCCAAGCCGACAGTGAGCCTTTGCTAGACGGCTGAGAAACAAAAAGCAGTAAGGCTAAAACAAACTACATTCTGTGGTTGAGGTGATGTCCTTTATTTTAACCTAACCTCCTAGCCAAACTGAAGTTGTCATAACTTGCGTTCATTCGTTCCCTTGTTGTCTTACTAAAATTCAATAATAAACAATAGACTACTACATTCACACTGAACTCTGTTTGTTTAGTCACTGTTTTATGTCTTTGATATATTTAACCTCACTGTGCATTCACTTTAGTTAGTTAATAAATTTCACCTAAATCACAGGAACGGTGTGTGTACACGACTTTGATATGAGACTGACTGATGGATTAAACTGATCGAAAATGATTGACAATTATTAACTAAATGATCACTTGTGAATACATGTAATTATTAAAGCTATACCCAAGGAGTCCTAAAGCCTTGGGCGGACAGAAAATTTTAGGTGGTGCCCCAAAACGAAATTTCTGAATTAATATTTCCAAATATTCATAATTTTATTAACCAATAAATACGTAGGTTCACCACAACATACAGGGTGAAGCAAAGCATTAGAAATACCTTTTATTATTAATAAATATACAGTCATATACAACCTCACTACAATCTGTTTCACAAAGCTAGTATTTATTGCTGGGCTATCTGTACACCTGCTTGGAATCTGCTGACTTTTAAAATCAACTCAGGTTAATCAGTGTGGTACAAGAAATAATCTTATAGCCAGTCTATCAGGCTAATCCTTGTTTCCATCAATGCTTCTTAGACGATACATACGGCACAGGTGTTATTGTGTGTGTGTGTATGTGTGCGTGCGTGTGTTATTTTTGTATTTTGAGTTTTACACCTTTACTGTAAAAGACAATCCTTTCATCTTCAGTGGACTACATTTCAGTCAGAGTTAGCTGTTAATCAGAGACAACTACTGTTCAGACTCAGTTTGTGGATGTGTGTAGGAGCTCACCATAGCCGCCGGCCTGGATGGGGGTTTTAGGAGAGGCGCAGGCGTACAAGCTGAAGTCCTCCGTCTGAAAGCCAGCTCGGTTTAACGAAGGCTCCGAGGCGCTGCGGTGGATTTTGGGTAATGACCGAGCCAGAAGCTCAATGGACGCCAAAATCTGACAGAATTCACAGCACAGCCACAGGGTCATCATTAAGAATCAGCATGATCACCATTCACAACTAAACACAATCCAACAAAACCATAAACAAAGATGTGTGCTGTTAACAAAGCCAATCAATTCTCAATTGATTAAAATCTGTGAGGTAATGGGACAAAGTAATGTACAATTCACAGAAAGCAGATAAAAAGAAATCCATCCTTTTTAAACATTTTTGAAGATCAGACCTATCTTTGGAGCCTACATCATCCTCCCTGAATGATTCAAATACCAGTGTGTCACTTTCAGTCGCTAATACAGGCCAGGGGAAAAAACGTCGAGGGGATTGGAATTACTTGGAAAGACTTTGACACGGTATCCTCTAGTGGATCGGTGGGTGTATAACACACTTTCACATGATACCGGGCTGAGAGAACAGGTAAACATGAAGGCAATGTTGAGTTTGCGTTAAAAGCAACATCTTTAACGAACACGTGATAAAATATAACAGTTAGAAATGAAGGCCTGGCTCTAATACAAGGTTTAAAATAAATATCTGGTTCTCTCTGCAAGTGAGGTAAAAAGAACGTTTACAATATTCATTCAAAAATTTGATATCCCTTCCTCCTTTACTGTAGCAATTAATATGCATCTGTTGCCTCCCAGTAAAACAGAACAACATTAGCATTTATTTTATTCTCACCTGAGGGAAGAGGCCGCTCCTCTCTCTTCTTCTTCAGGCAGTCAGCCATCAGTCTCTTCATGGCCTTCGGACAGTTGCTGCGCACCTTGCTGAGGTCAGGAGACAGGTAACCTCGACCCACCAAATATGATCTATGGGGGAGAAGATGTGATAATATTTGGTTGCAGGGATAAACAGGCTGTTAACATTTTGTAGAGCTGTAGCTTCTAACAGAGCTCAAATATTAATGTTAGGAAATGTGACTGTGCTGTGCCACTGGAAGGACATTTACACTGCTTACTTGCATTGACATTATTATTATAATAAAGTGATAAGCCTATTATTGATGAATTAAATAGCATGAAAACATATTAGATTTATTTAAATTAAATTGAGACAAAAACTTTAATGAACCATGTAAATTTACTGAGAAAGAAAAATGCAATTCAAAAATCTTCTCTATTATAGTACACCTTTACGTCATCATTTCATCGTAAAAGTGGTCAGACAAGATAAGGAACACGTTATCTTTAGCTCAGGGACATTTTTCACAATTTTTTGCTTTTTAAACATGTAATGCCTGAAACTAATCAATAGTAGGAGCTATAGGTGGTAATTCATGTACACCATTAATCTGAAGTTTTTGTACAGGTTCTCTGCAGTCAAAGAACATGTAGCTCTTCACATATAACATCACAACAAAGAGATGTGGAAACAAAGAACAGGTAAATAGACATTTCAGCTAAAAGCAATTACAATCATATTGGAGGAAATGGAGGCTGATAAGCCCATTCTGTTTATTAGATTTGAAGGCATGCTGGTGGTCCACCAGAAGCCTACAGCTCTACAGTTCCCCTGTGGTTTCCCTTCTCCTGATCTTATATAATTAGCCCGTGCAGGGAGATTTACTTACACCATTTTTAGTCACTGAAAGTATCAGTGTTGAAATGGATAAAAGACTAAATGAAAAGAGCTAGGTTATAGATTAAGTATTTATCAAGTATCTTTACTCAAACCTTTTCTTAGAAAATCCTTAAAACTTATAATTAAATGTCATGCATAAAATGGGTTTACATAAATGAGTCACACAAACTTATAACATCTCTTTCTGTACGCATTCAACATATAATTTCAGATACATTCAGATGATTGATACATATCACCTACAACAAGTTCATCAGTGAACTTTAGAGGTGTTGGTAGAAGTATTTTTGAACAGATCAGGCTAGCTGTTTCCCCCTGCTTCCAGTCTTTATGCTACGCTAACCACAGTCTGACTCCAGCTCTGTACTTAACACACACACAAACAAGAGATAGATATCCATCTCACATTTCAAGAGAAAGTAAATGAGCTCATTTCCCAAAATGTTGAAACTCCCTTAATGATGAGAAGAAACGTTATAGGATGACTTGGTATGTTATGACAATGCATGATGGATCCATTCAAAATACAAATTCAAAAGTAATTTTATTTGGTCGGGGCAAAATTAGATGCTCTTGCATGCAGCTAGTGGCAACACATCTGCAAATTAAATGTTTGACCCAAAAGTATTAGTGGGCTGAACGATTAATTGCATTTGCGATATTATCGCGATGTGATAAAAGGAGATTTTCTAATCGCAAAGGCTGCGATTACACTCTGGTCACATGACACCCAAGCATAAAGCCGTTACGCTGTACCTTGCCTTCTTGTTGTACAATGGCCTTAAGCTTGACAGAAGCTGACACTACATAAACTTTAGCGTAACACAGGGAATGTAAGTATCAGCTGCCACCCGCGGGTAACTTGGTGGTGGGGTGGGTGAAATCATCGGGCCATCCGCGGCTTTGACGGACAGGAAAAATGCACAACAGAAAGACTCGTGTAGTAAGGTAAGCGTATTGTGGCGATCGGCGCCTGCGTCACACACACAGCCAGCAGTCAGCTCAGGAAGTATCTGTGAAACGGCGTTTCAACCCAAACTCACAAGTCCGAAAGAGTCTGTCCTGCGTTACAGCCGGTGCGCTGCTCACCAGCATCGCAGGTGATGTTGGAGAATTACTAAGCTTGTCTATTAAACACGAGGGGCTTGGTTTTATTTTCGTTGGCCAACTTTTGAATTGAAACTCAAACTGAATATTTTTTGTTTGCTTGCTGGGATACAGAAAGATGGACTCCGGGGAGATATGAACTGAGATAAGGACGCATTAATTGGTGGTTGAACTGTGGGTTTTGCATTGAACGCTTACTGTAAACACACTGTGGTGAGTTAGTTTTCTTGTGGTCTGTAGGTAGGCCGACCTGATGATATTATATCAGACACGCTGCATAGTGAACCATGTGTGACGGGGTTTTGGTACGTCTGACCAGGAAGCTACTGAGCTGTATTCTGACTACAATGAAAGAAAAAAAAAAAAAAAACATGTTTTAGAGCAAGCTGTGTTTTGGTTTATTAAAACATAGGAGTCGGTGTGACTTATTGAGTCCTCTTACCTGGTCTCTGTTGTTGATGTTGGAGTAGGGCAGTGCTCCTGACATGAGCTCGTACAGCACAATGCCGAAGGCGTAGACGTCTGACTGGAAGCTGTAGGGATTCTTGTCCTGCAGCGGATCACCTCTGGAGCCTGAGAGAGAACAGGTTACCCTGACGGTCACATGACCCAAAGAAAACTACACACTTCTAGCGCATACCTATTGTAGAAACTACACGGAAGGGCCTATCTGGAGCTAGTGTTTGGTTTGTCTGTTCTGGGCTACTGTAATAATATGGCATGCAACCTGGTGAACTCTTTGAGCGTGGAACACTAGGTGCTTCTCTGTCTCAACGGTTCTGTCTTAACTATGTAGCGGAAGGGGAGGACCACCACGTATTTTTAAATAGCGGCCAAAGAAGCTGCAGCGGTTGTGATTGTACAAGTATGTTAACCCCCCCCCTTTAATATAATTGAAGTCAAGTGAGCAAACAATCCAGCAGATATTTTGGAAGGTGACAATCGCAGTCAGATGAAGACAGTCATGATGATAGTGAAAAGATGAGTAATTATATACATATACAGTGGGTACGGAAAGTATTCAGACCCCTTTAAATTTTTCACTCTTTGTTTCATTGCAGCCATTTTCCAAAAATCAAAAAAGTTCATTTTATTTCTCAGTAATGTACACTCAGCACCCCATCTTGACAGAAAAAAACAGAAATGTAGAAATTTTTGCAAATTTATTAAAAAAGAAAAACTGAAATATCACATGGTCATAAGTATTCAGACCCTTTCCCGTGACACTCATATTTAACTCAGGTGCTGTCTATTTCTTCTGATCATCCTTGAGATGGTTCTACACCTTCATTTGAGTCCAGCTGTGTTTGATTATACTGATTGGACTTGATTAGGAAAGCCACACACCTGTCTATATAAGACCTTACAGCTCACAGTGCATGTCAGAGCAAATGAGAATCATGAGGTCAAAGGAACTGCCTGAAGAGCTCAGAGACAGAATTGTGGCAAGGCACAGATCTGGCCAAGGTTACAAAAAAATTTCTGCTGCACTTAAGGTTCCTAAGAGCACAGTGGCCTCCATAATCCTCAAATGGAAGACGTTTGGGACGACCAGAACCCTTCCTAGAGCTGGCCGTCCGGCCAAACTGAGCTATCGGGGGAGAAGAGCCTTGGTGAGAGAGGTAAAGAAGAACCCAAAGGTCACTGTGGCTGAGCTCCAGAGATGCAGTCGGGAGATGGGAGAAAGTTGTAGTAAGTCAACCATCACTGCAGCAATCCACCAGTCGGGGCTTTATGGCAGAGTGGCCCGACGGAAGCCTCTCCTCAGTGCAAGACACATGAAAGCCCGCATGGAGTTTGCTAAAAAACACCTGAAGGACTCCAAGATGAAAAACTTGTTGCATCTTTCCCAAAACGACTCATGGCTGTATTAGATCAAAAGGGTGCTTCTACTAAATACTGAGCAAAGGGTCTGAATACTTATGACCATGTGATATTTCAGTTTTTCTCTTTTAATAAATTTGCAAAAATTTCTACATTTCTGTTTTTTTCTGTCAAGATGGGGTGCTGAGTGTACATTACTGAGAAATAAAATGAACTTTTTGATTTTGGAAAATGGCTGCAATGAAACAAAGAGTGAAAAATTTAAAGGGGTCTGAATACTTTCCGTACCCACTGTATATGAATATTCTATTAAATTATACAATGAGACAAATGTATAGATCTCTTTAGTTAGCTTCTGTCTTTATTTTCATTTATTCACCTTACTATTAATTACCTTATTTATTGTCCTTTATAATCTTCTTAATACTTCTTTAAATTTGTATATTTACGTCTGTGTTTTAATATTATTGTCTGTTTTATTCTTCCTTTACATTTTCTACCCTATTTATTTATCCTCATGAATATTATATTCCATATCTGCCAATAGCTCCCCCTAAATGTTACACACTGGACCTTTAACAGTGAAGCTGATAAAAAGAAAAAATGTAAAACTGGTTAAGTGTAAACTTAATGAAAGGTTACTGGTAGGAGGGTGGGAGATGCATACTAACCATCCACAGTATAGAGCCAGACAGCTGCTCAAACTGGTGGGAGCCACTCCAGCGGGATTTGACTGTAGCCAGACCAAAGTCACCAATCTTCACTGTCAGATCCTCGTGGAGGAAAATATCTGGTGGAGATGGGGTCAAGGAAACGTCTCGTCTTCTGCTCCTAAGCTCTTAACATCGTAAGAGCTCTCTGCATTCTATGGAGGGAGGTTATACTTTCATCCCTGTTTGTGTGTTAGCAAGATAAACTCCAACATAATCAAAATTTTTAATTTATTTCACAGAAAGAAAAAGAAACCAAAAGACCTCAGCCTAAAGGTGAACTGTGTAAAATGTTTCAAAAAAAGGATGCTGTTGCTCTTCAGATCTCTGTGAATGATTGATTTGGCATGCAGGTAACTGGGGAGGAGAAGAAAAAGTAATTAGACAAATGACACACATGGAGAAGTCTGACTGCTTTTTTAAATTCGTGGTGGAACTCACTCCATGCCCTGAGCGGTCTGCCGAGCGATGTCAATCAGCTTGATCATCTCGAACTTGGTCTCGATGATGTGCAGGTGGTGGTACAGACTGGAGCCTTCACACCACTGGGTCACGATGGCCAGCTGAGGCTTGGTGGTGTAGCCCATGAACAGCAGGATGTTCACATGACGCGTTTTCCTGCCACACACACACACACACACAGGTGATAAAATTACAGACTTGTAGCAGTTTTGTATAGCTTTGGAAAAGGAGGAAGTTCTAAATACGATATTAGTTTGTAGTGCAGTATTAAAATGCAAAGTGCATACAGTATATTCCCCTGATTAAAGACCAGGTGGCAGACATTACCTGAGGACTCCCACTTCATTCTTGAAGGCCTGAAGCTGCTGTGGTGTGGGAGCAGTGACATTTAACATCTTCACTGCCACATCACCTGGAAGGAGATGGAGGATTGTCTTATATTCAGGCCAATATGGTCAGTAGTGGCAACATTTTCCCCTAGAATTATAGTATTTCAGATTTTAGTCCAGATTGATTTGGCCACGCCTATGGTTACAGCGAGTATATTGTAATAATACATATCCCAGACTTCAGGTTGAAATACTTGTGTATCAACCGCTGGGGGAAGCATCCCACATTGAGCAGCTTTAAAAACACAAAGATAAGGCTTTTATTCTATATTTCTCAACAAATCCAATGAAGACCAAAACCAACAATGTGTTTGTCCATTTCTCAAAGTAGCTGAGGGTAAAGGTGATGGACTGGCCAAGCATGTCTCCAGACCTAAACCCTAGCGCAAGGTCTCTAACATCCACAAGCTCGTGATGTCGTCATGGAAGAGGACTCCAGTGGCAACCTGTGAAGAATGGTGACCTCCATGCCCAAGAGGGTTAAGGCAGTGCTGGAAAATAATGGTGGCCACATAAAATATTGACACTTTGGGTCCAATTTGGACATTTTCACTTAGGGGTGTACTCACTTTTGTTGCCAGTGGTTTAGACATTAATGGCTGTGTGATGTGTTATTTTGAGGGGACAGCAAATTTACAGTTATACAAGCTGTACACTCACTACTTTCATTCTTCAGTGTTGTCACATGAAAATATATAATCAAACATTTAAAAATATTAAGGGGTGTACTCACATTTGTGAGATACTGTACATCTAAGAAACTTCCTCACAAAAAGTTTCATTTTTTATTCTCAGTAATTTCCTAAAACAGCTCCCCACTGTTGAGCAAACGTTGCTCAAACAGGAAGAAATTGTGCTTTGTGGACTATTTTCAGCAGTGGATTAATCCACATTTGGTGCTCCAGCGAGAACTTATCAAAACAAAAAAAACCTACAACAAATGTGTGTGTCTGTTGAGCCGATGCCAGATGATGTAAACAGTTTCCTAACTTGCTGCTAGTGGTCTGAAAACAGATAACAGAGCGTTGGTCTTACCATGCCACTTTCCCTTGTAGACAGTTCCAAAGGATCCAGAGCCTATCCTCTGACCCAGAGTGATCTGACCCTCCGGGATTTCCCAGTCATCACTGGAGTCCCTTCTCCCCAGGGTTTTCTGTTCCATAGGACACTCAGTCAGCACATGCACACAGATAACGAGCTTCAGGAAAACCTGTGCGTCAGTCTCTTACCATCTTATTGCGGTCCTCAGACGACGACGACGACTTGCGCTCCCTCTGTTGGCATGGCGACTTCTGCGGAACCTTGACACTGGTGAGAGAACCAGGTAAAGAGGCAGGAGGCGTGGCAGACAGCCCTGTGGTAGAGCCTGGAGAGGGATCAGGGACGAAAAGAAGGGAAACAATAAAAAAAGAGGAGGTGAGGTGGATAGGAAACACTGGTACAAAAGGAAGGTGAGATACAGCAGAATAGTAAAGAAAGACGGGGTTTGGGCAAGGACAGGGACTGAGGAGTCTGGATCAGTTGTGTGTGTGTGTATGTGTGTGTGTGTGTGTGCTGGTCACATGCAGGAGAGGTGAGGGGGTGCTTGGTCGGATGGCAGTTAATGGTTTAATAATCTAGACTTCCCAAAGTCCATCAGTGTTACTAACATCTAATGTCCGGATCACAACAGGTTTCATATTGTTGATCAAAAAAGGAGCAACTTTTAAACTGTAAACTGTCTCTGCCTCCAGGTCGTGAAGCAAGGAAAATGTCTGTGCCTGAAATGTGTGGAGAAAGAATGGAGGGAAGGGGGTCACAATGAGTAACTAGTTAAGTAATGTGATTAGTCTTTCGATAAGCAATTAAATACATTTTTAAGTAACTTGCCCAAGGTTACTTCTCAATAAGATGTCATTCTTTTAAAAGCCAAGTTACAAAAAGACAAGTATCGTTACCATGGCCACCTGTCAATCAGGCCAGAGTGACTCGTACCCACGGCACTGTGTAAATTTAACCTGCGCTGTTGAAAAAGCTTTTTAGACATTTATTTTAAGACTGTCGTTCGCTAGACAAAATTATCATCCCGGTTAAAATGACAGTTAAAGTAAATTACAGATGCACCTAGCTAAGCAAACTCCACACGTAGCCGTGGGCACCACCATCTCTCTCACTTCCAGTGCCGCTGGTTGCAAAAAATCAACATGGTGGCCCCCTATTGGCAGTCCTGAAACCAACAGGTGACGTCATAATGACTACGTCTTCTTCTATTATACAGTCTATGGTTTTAAGTCAGTATTTAGTGCTGATGTTCTGGGTCAGTAAGAACAAAACATCCAACCTGGTGAGGTATCTGGCTGCCCATACACATCTAATGAATAAGCCATCTCTAAAGATATAATTCGATATTAGATAAATACCCAGAAACAGCTGTAATATCGCTAACTGTTGCCTCCAGGGCAGAATAAAGTAGGTCCACTTGAGGTAAGCGAATAAAGAAATTTTTTGGTGAACTTTTCCTTAAAATACTTGAACTCATGTTAAATATGCTGCCTTTTAAAATTTAAATGTGTGTGCTTTCACACTCTGGTAGATATTTCATTTTCATGCCTTTTGAATGTGACTAAAGCCTGAACAAGCGCTGCCTCTTGTATTACTTGAATTTACAAGTGTGCTATCATGGAGTAGATCTCAGTAATTATGATTCATTATTTACTATAACTTATGTTACATAAAAAAAGGAGCATTTCACAAATCATATCACCATCCATAGAAAGAGTAGTGTCTGATCAGAGTAGGGGTGGGATCTCTGCGCAACCTGGGAGCTGTCAGGTGTGTGGTAGAGAGAGCATGTGAGGACATAAAGAGAGAGGGGGACACACAGTGGATGTGACATAGGGCAGGGTGTGGTGTGTGGGGGGTGGGGTGATGTGGGAGGGGTGAAGGACACAGGAACACACAGAGGCCTAACTACCTCGGAAAACAGGCTCGGGCTCAAAATCAAACACTATGTCATTGGGGTAGGAGTATAGGAGGGGGCTTGAGGTCCGTGTTCGGTGCTTCCTCAAGCAGCGGGCGGGGTGGGTCGGGGGGGCTGCAGGGCAAAGAGAAACAGACAGACCATCACTGCTACTCACCCTGCCCCTCTCACTTCTGACCAACTACTGTCCATGGCTACAGCTGAGCTTTAGGATGGACAGTCCTCTTAACGGTTAGCATGTTAGCTTGGCTCTGTCTGTCAGGGTATCTGCAGGTCGAACACTGCTGAATTTAAGATATGTCATACATTTCAGTGTCAACATTTTGGGAAATACTCTGGAAGTGTGATGGGAAGATCGATATCAATTTTATGTCTATTTGTTAAGTATAGAGCTGGAGTCAGGACTTGGTTAGCCTAGCTTAGCATTAAGACTGGCAGCAGGGTAAAACAGACTGGCTCTTTCCTAAGTAAAAAAATACACAGGCTAATGGCGCGTCCACATACAACGCTAAAGTGTGTTTTGCATGGCGCAATTACATACAAAGTCAATGCAGAGAAATAGATGCTTAGTCGCTACAGACTGACGTAAATTGGGTGAATATGAAGCACATATGCAAAATCTGCGTGTATCGCAGTGGCTTTGCAGAGTGTTGTGCGGAGAGGAGCTGGCAGAGCGGAGGAACTGAGCCTCTTCTCGCGACCGATAGCCACAGAGGGAGGGGGAGCTCAGCTGCAGCGAGCCACCAAGTTTCTGACCTCCACTGTTGTTTTTGTAGCCGTCTGTGGGCACCCAGAGCTCTGTGAAACTACTACCATATAAAACAGGAGATTGCTTCAACAAATGTTAGCGAGGAAGTTGAACTACATGGTAAGTTCAGAAAGTAAGTGTCTGTTACTTCCAGCTATTGTTGTACTTTACTATGAAACAGTTAGCATAGCATAGCCCTGATAGATCCGAACACCATTTAGAAAACAAGCATTTTAAAATTGAAGTACCGCGCTATTGGTCAAGCCTACCGCGGAGGATGGCAATCACCGCAACAACCGCTCATACTGTACCCTTCAGGCCTTGTTAAATAAATAAATGAGTGTTTCAAAAGTTCCACAACTGTAACAAGCTCTGTAACGGTTCAAGGATGGATCGCCATGGGCTGTACGTGACCCGACTTCAAACTTGGAAGCTGTAAGTGTTGCCATGTATTGTGTTGTTTTACTGTTTATTTTAAAAGTTAGCTAACTTGGCGTTAGCATATTGCGTGGCCAATGTGGCTAGCAGGCTCGACGATTTTGGACTAACGTAATCCTGAGGGACAGTGGAGAGAAACTGAACGGTAAGCCTCATTTGAAGCTCACTTGCTAACGAGCGTAGTGTGTCGGGTGCCTGCAGCTGTTTTTCATGTTGCTTTCTGTTGAAATTTTTTTATAATGTTACCACAGCGCAGTCGTTAGTTGCGGACACCCGTGTGTGTTGCTGCGTATGTAAATTGACTTTATATACGTGCCCTGAAGGTAATGATAGTTACGTGTGAAAAAGACACGGTCAAAACTACTGCTTACTTCACCGCGACAGCCCTAGCGGACAGACCCGCCAAGCATGAATATAGAGTATATGTTTAACAAATCACCATCATGTAGTTATTTCAGCATAATTTTGATCCATTCATTGCAATTAAAGCAATCTCATTACTCGCAAAAGTAAACACAAATAGCCCAGCGGTCAAACTTGCACCCATTAACTTGATGTGAAAATAAAATTCTTTGTGAACATGCCACAACTAATTCACACTTTTTATCTTGTTTGGTTAATCCGTACACACAAAGTAATTTTACTGAGTTCTACAGAAAAGACAACTAATGGGTTGGGTTATAAACACTATAGCGGTTTATAATACAGTATGTGCGTTTAGCATAACTAGTAGCTTGGAGCTGCTGTGGCAAGGTAATGTTGAAATGTTTTTTTCTTTTCAATCACCACTATGAGCTGTCTGAACAACGCTAAGTTACTAATATCTTATATTGAGCCATTGCCGGCATAGCTTCTGCTGCACATTATAGGCAGATTATAAATTTCATCTACATTAAATAAACTTCCAAAGATCTGTAGAGGTACAATTATACCACAGAATGGAAGCAAACGCAGTGAGGTCACTTGAGGGCGGGGCTACGAGCAGTTTGTGTGTTAGCTCAGCCCCACAAGAAAGCACAAACAGGTGTTTCCCAAAATGTTGAACTGTTCCTTTAAGGAAATTGCTAGTTTGAAACTAAGTAGCGCTTACTATGAACCTAGCGAGAATTTGACAATTTTACATTTGTTGCACTGGGTTCATTAACAATGAGTGCCGGAAATTCAATGCAAAAGTTGTCGCTGGAAAATAAGAGCTTTCATCAAAGAAGTCTGTCTGATACATAGCAGGAAATCTTAACATTTTGTCACAGATCCAAACAACTTTAAAAGATTTCTTAAGACTGTGAGGGTATTCGGAATCATTTTCTCTGTGAACTACTGCATCTACCTGAATAAGAAAAAAATACTACAGTTACCACTATATGTATTTTGATGTAAAGCCAGATTCAGCTGTTACCCTGTTTCTTACCCAAAGCTTGTAACCTCAATCATCTTTACATCATGAAGACCGCAACAGGCCTCTGATTTCCTGACGTCTTGGTGATTTTATTTTCACTAAACGTCTGTAATGAAGTTGAAAAATGTACTAGCTACATGTATTTCTCCTAATTCTCCAAAGTAACTGAAGTGTAAAAAAGTAAACGAGGTCCGCTCAAGATGAAGTTCTGTTCTTCCAGAAAACCTGACCCACAGATCTGAATAAACATGTGTGTCCTCAACTACTGCTCACAGTGACCGCTAGAGTGCAAGACTAAAAACAGCTGACTCCACATCTGGGGTCTGAACTCCACACACACACAAAAGACCAAGAGCACGCAGACGTGGGATGGTGGGAAATAAAAAGCCACAGAATGAGCCCGAAGTCTCCTACTTTGATCCTTACCTCCATCTGACCTTGGTAAGCCCTGATCTCGAATCAGGTCCTTAAAAGGAAGGAAGAAAGGACATTAATAATATGAACACTTTTCACAAAAATGATTTACTGTACAATTTACTGAAGCAGCATGAATGAACGATGGCTCAGCGAAGAGAGAGAGACGGTTCAGTTTGTTCGCAGTAACAAGCTAACAGATTTGTTGTCGTGGTAACGTACTGTAAGGCATTTGTATTTTACAAAGGCAGCAAACAGCCGTACATGGGCAGAGGTCTCAAATCATTTGGATAATTGTTTTCCGTATGCTCACATTTTCCACACTGAAACCCGGGGGCCGGCCGTTTCATTTTCATAGTCTCATTACTCTCTGCAGAGCGCTTTCAAAAAGCTAAAATTAAGAATTGCACTTTGGATTTACCCACTTTAGTGTGGACACAGTTTGAGATCACAAAGCACAGTCACTGAAATCAGCTGCTGTTTGGTGGAAACGGAACCTGCAGACTCATGGAGGCCATTTATAGCATATGGTACATAGATTTATCAGTCAGTCCAGCAAAGAGAGAGCAGACTCACATCAATGTTGACAGGCTCGATGGTATTGATATGGACATTGGGAGCGGAGGACGAGCGGTCCCGCTGGCCAAACTGGTTGCGGTGGTCCTCCTCGTTGGGCCGGAAACTAGGCGGGATGGGTATGGACTTGGACGGGGACACAGTGGTGTGGCATATTGACCTAGAAAGATGAAATTTGTTAGTAAAAACGTGTCAAAGCTGAGGACATGCAGGAGACATTCTGACTGCACATTTATTCTTTTTGCTTTATTAACAGACAGAAGACAGCAGAAACGCATTACGAGGAGAATTCCTCCTCTTGTTCTGAGGCGTGTGAAGGTACTCACCCGGTGGAGTCAGATGGGGGGAGGGATGGACAGGCCTCAGACACTGGGGTGGTCCCCTCTGAGGAGACCTCCTCCTGGGTGAACGGGTGATGCTCAAAGAACTTGGACACTAACAACAAGCTGCAAAACACACATCATCAAGGTTGCTTATTTTTCATTCAGTCACTCTCAACACAACTTGACTTGGGGCTGAAGCCTAACATACCTGGAAATGAACAAGGAGAAACTAGATGATGCCATGTGTCAGACCCTTCATAACACCCTCCTTACCAGAGACAGACAAACTACAAAATGACAGTGTTGGCGGTTATCTGGTAAACAAGCCAGTGTCTTTACACTCAGGGAGTGAATCCTAAAACATTATGGAAATCCAGATGGACAGTTTAAAAAAAAAAGGATGAAAATGGATGCAGCACAAACAGAGATATCGTCTTTTTGATTCCACACATTCTTCTTCCTTGTCAAAACCGGCCTCCTATATTACCCACAATGCAACTGGCAGTTCAGCTGGAGATGTGGGTGTATTATGCTAATAGTGGCTAATGTAGCCTGCAGTGATAGACAGTAACTAAGTACATTTACTCAAGTACTGTACTTCAGTACAAACTTGAGGTACATTTACTTTACTTGAATATTCTCTTTCATGCTACTTTCTAATTCTATTCCACTACATCTCAAAGGGAAATATTGTACTTTTTACTTTACTACACTACATTTCTCTAGCAGCTTTAGTAGTACTTTATTTAAAAAGCTTTTTACACACAAAACATATGAAGAGTTAAAAAATATTATGTTTTGTTATAAATTAAACTACCTATAGTTTACAACTGCGCATACAAGTGCAGCTGAAACGATTAGTCTGTGGACAGAAAATGAATTGGCAACTATTTTGATCGTTTAAGTAGTTTGGCACCAAAAACATTTCATGGTTCCTGCTTCATAAATGTGAAGATTAGCTGCTTTTATTTTTAATTATTTGAATAATTTGAATGTGTGGTTAATGATGTTGAGGATTGGACTGTTGGCTGGACAAAACACGTACTGTGGGTAACTCACGGACATTTCTCTTTTTTTCAGAATTTTTTCAAACAATCAATCGATTAATGAAGAAAATAATCAGCAGGTGAATTCATATTGAAAATAATCATTAGTTGCATCCGATAAAAACCTGAGCTCAACAACTATAGCAGTAAATCCTGCTTTTACATGAATGTATGAGGAATAATAATCTCTTGATATCATATTTACTGGTATAACAGTCACAGGGACATTTTACTGCATTGGGTACTTTTACATTTAATACTAAAAGCACATTTCCCTGATTATCCTTACATGGTTTTACCCAAGTAAGATTTTCAATGTAGTACTTTTACTTGTAACAGAGTATTTTCACAGTGTGGTATTAGTACTTTGACTTAAAAGTACAGAGGTCTGGTAAGCTCAGTTCATCCTAACTTCACATCTCCAGAGCGCTTTCATTTTCAAACTTCTAGTCTTCAGCCACAAACAACGGC